AGGAGGCTATGTCGAAGTCCCGAATTCCCCTTTGTTCTCTGCATGAGGGGGTTAAGAAGTGCCATCTTGCCTCCGTCGGGCAGTCTAAGGATCATAACTTCTCGGGCGGAATCCAATGATGATGAGACCGATGCGATCGATCGAGCCCGATTCTTATTCCGGCTCCGTGAATCTTCACTGCTCGCGCGATCAACAACAACAAAGCGTCTCCTTCAAAACTCCCTCTCCCCTTGTCCTCACCCTCGCCCACCGGCCAAAGCAACGACGACGACGACAAATCTCGAGCGCCAGATCTACCTTAAAAAAAAAATCGTGCGACTTCATTCGCTTATTCTTCCATTACCGCGAATTTAAAACGCAAGCCGGGCATGGCCATTGTTCCCTCGCGGACGATGGAACGCTTGCGCCTCCCTCCGTCACCCAAAGCTGGACCTCATTGTCGCCAGCATTTGTGATATAAAAAAAGTGGCAGCTTTGCGAGATATTTTTCGTGCCCTAGCCCGCCCTTTTGGCCTTGGCCGCTTTGTCGATTTGGCCCGCCCCCGCAAAACTAGAGTTAGCGAGCCCCCTTGGACCGCCTAAAATAAGCACCCAGCGAAGGAAAGGGGCTAAGGAAACGGAAGGGGAGGGGAGGGGAGGGAAGGGAAGGGAATGGACCCTTTCCGAGGAAATCGTGAGCCACCGCCCACAAGACTAGAACGACATGGACCAAGGTCGGTCGACTCGATCGTCGCCCGACTTTTCGAGTGCGGGAAAGTTCGTCATTCTAGACTTTCCGTTTGCGTTGGCCTTTCCAGATTGCAGTGAGAAAGATGGAACAAGCTGCTGCTGCTGATGGGTCGGTCGGTTAATTCCAGGTTGGGGTTCGCGGGGGGCTGGGGGGAGGAGGATGAGGAGGAGGAGGAACATTAAAGGGGAGGGGGGGATTCGAGCTATAATTTCCGCTGCGGGAGTAAGAGAGTTTCACCGAATTCACTTTTGAGGTTTTAAACGAATGGAGAAAAGCAAGTGAAAAATCATCGTCGTCATCAAATCTCCAACCACGATATTTGATTTCACCTTCTACACTTGATGTGTATGGCATTGTCCCGCACTTACTTACGACGATTGTCATCATGATTCAAACAAAATCTGACAGAAGTTGCGTAGACTTTGCGTCGAGATTTATTCATTTCGAACTTGAGTGTATTTGGATTGCCTGAGCCCGTCCCTCCCTCCCTCCCTCCCTGCATCCATCCATCGCTCTCTCACTCGCCTCCTGATGCAGCAGCCCCGGACGCTTTCCGCTAACACGAGCCCACCAAAACATGTCCTGTGCTGCTGCGGGAGGAGAAAAACATTTCAATAATTGCTCGCAGAAAGCGCTGCAAAAGCGGGCTCCGTTCCGGATGAAACGTAATGCTGCGAGAGTCGCATCCATGGCTCTGCAGATCTGCCCGGCCCTGAGCCTGAGCCCTGAGCCCTGAGCCCGGCCCTGGCCCTGGCCGGATGGATAGATGCGAGCGCGCGTAACACATAGGGGCGCCTCGGCGGCCCACATTCGGCTGCAGAATGTCACCCCCCGGGCCCGAAAATTGCGAGGATCTATCATTGTACAGCCCCCCACTCGAGTTCCGCTCCATCCTCTCATGACGCTTTTGTTCGGGTCAGAGTCTCGGCATGCTGCCTGCCTACGAGCGAGCACTAGCAGATCTGCCGGCGTGCTGCTCTTGTGACGGGGCTCCTCCCCTCGACATCGGATTCGCCATTCCATCGCTTCCTCACTTTTGTGCCAAGTGCCAGCGCGAGTGCTGGTGCGCTTCCGTCAACTCATTCGTAACCCCAGGCCCCCATGGGTGCTAACGGTTAGCACCATGAGGGTCTAGGCTGCTAAACCCCCATGTTAAACCCTGCTAAACCCCGCGAGGGGTTGGGGCTAATTTGGGGGCTGTGGGGGGGTAGAAGCAGGGAGGCTCCTCTAGATTATATTTGCCTCCCCGTTTTTTTTTGTGTCCGGAGGTTATGTGCTCGATGATGGGCCTGGAGGGGGACTCACTTTACATCCCAAGACAGAACTGTGATTCATGCCTTAGCTTACGGAGAGGGACACTTGGGCATGACAACATTCCATCAATCCGAACGTAGATCATCATCCATATGGAGGAGGATGATGATGATGAAGATGATGATGGGAGGGGAAGTGGGAGGGGGGGAGGGAGCGAGGGGGTGCAGAATGCGAGAAATCTCGAATGCGCATGAATCTCTGAGAAGAATCGTGACGTCTCCTTCCTCTTGCCAACACGATTTACTGATGCTTCTGTTCATGCTTTAGGGCGCACAAATCCCATCACCTAACATCGGGAGCGGGGTGATCTCATGCCAGTAAATAGATGAGATCATTCCTTATCGTATCGAGTTTGACGATGAATCATTTCGAGCTGTGTGTATGTTGGCCTTCTTGGGCGAGGTCAGTCGGCCCGATGGCAGATGGGCTGCGAGCCCTCGTCGGTCCAAACAAAAGATTCATCGGGCCTCGCCTCATAGATAACTGCCAGTTTATTCCCGTTTTATTGCATGCCTCGCCGACAAGTATTGTTTTGCTTTCTCCGCACGAAACTTTGAATTGTGGCCTCTGGATGGATGCTGCAGCAGCACAAGCACCAGCAGGAGAAGAAGAAGAAGAAGCAGAAGCAGCAGAAGAGGGAAAAAAAAAACATTTTTTCTCGCGGAGGAAAAAGAGCAGGAATCAAACCATGGCACTGTAGGGAAACGATAAAATAATTAACAAAATTAAATGGTCTGGCGTTTGACATAATAAATCGGTCGGACCTCCGTCCGTCCATTTGGTGCGGTCGATAATGCCAATTACAAGCGCTCCGCAGACACCTAATACGCGAGGACCCATTTGGTTTGGGCTTGTCTCTGTCACCTAACCATCGATTTGTCCCCGCTCCCTCGGGCTTCCTTCGGATTTTCTCCGCCGCTACAGTGGCGAGCGCACCACTGCCCCCTCCCAGTTCGCCCCGAGCCTGGACACATGGACTGCGCCATTTTATATCATTTCCCCCGCGACTTTTCTCTGGCCCCCGCCCTCCGCTTGCAAAGTAAACGTTCGATGCCTTTTCTAGTTGGTTCTGTCTCGGTCACTGAGTCGAGTGAGTTTGTCACCGTCGCCGTGCTTGGGGCCCGAGCGGGGGCTTGGGGGTAATGGGGTAAGGGGAAGAGGGGGGTTTAGGCGCCCAACGTTGCCAAATTTGGATTGGTTTGGGCTTCGGCTTCGGCTTCGGTCGGTTTAGTTCGCAATGAGCGCTCATTGCTAACCTACCTCCCCAGGCACTGTGTACAATGTCCCATGCCCCATGGAAATATCTCGATATTTCCATGCCTCGAATCTCATCAGTTCCCCTTCCCCTTCGCTTTCCAATTCTTCCCTACCTTCCATCCTTCCTCGCTTCCACTGCTTCTGATTCTTCATCTTCTTCATCATCTTCCTCGACGACTTGGAAATCCTCTTTGTCCCCAGCGATTAGGGAGCAACAAGAAGCGAGCGACCTCGTAATTCCGACCCGTTGCAAGCTTAGCGGGGGGTGCGTACCGGATGATGATGCTAGAGGGGGCTGGGGGTGGGGGTGGGGTTGCTCCCGGGGGAAAAAGAGAAACGTATATGCAGTCACTCATTCATTCATGTCTCGAATCTTGCACAGTGCTCGGGCTTGTGTCCCCCTTTTCTTTTCGGAAGAATCACATGCTACGCCAGATGACTTCATCGACGCAGACCGGATCGATAGCTTACGACGAATGCATGTCCGTTGGCTCGATCACACATTTATCAGTCGCCCATCGAGTTCGAGACCGGAGAACGAACCCCTTCGTCCCCGTGCGGGGGAGCCCCAGCGGCCGCCTTTTCGATTCTTTATTTCCTCTCGTACCCGAAGATCTGAAATGGTGTACTTTGCTTTCCTCCGTCGCCCGAATGATGAAACGGAGTGGCTCTAGTCGTCCCATAGTTTATGTAACCCCTTCCTTCATGGAAACAGTTCAACGCATCGACGACTGAAAAGAAGAGCCAAAAGAAGAAGCCCAGGCCTTCAAGAGCCCCTGCCTTAACCCCCACCCCCCAACCCCCCGTCCGTCCGTCCGTCCTCCAATGGATGCCGGCATTTACGATTTCTCTTTTAGCAGCGGCGACGCACTGACAGGAGGGTGTCGATGGGGATGAAGTACGAGCGAAAAATGCGGGGGCTGGCCGATGGCTGGAGATTAGTGGCTCTCGGTTTGGAAAGTGTTGAACAGGGGTTTTGGTCTGGGCGGAATGTTTTTCTTTGTTTTCCGTGATGCGAGTGGGGGAGGTGGCGAGGGGGGGAAGGGGGGTGGGGTTGGGGTTGGGGTTGGGGCTGTGGCTGGGGGTAGGGGAAGCGAGAGCAAGGGTGTCGACGACTCCGCTCGTAAGCACAGGAGGGAAAATGTTTCTGGGGGGCAGTGAAAAAACGGTTGACTTAGTGCGACAAGATTTCTTGTAATCTGCACAAACGCGTTTGGCAGCGAGTCTTGAGGTCGAGGTTGGAACTTGCTAAAAGTATTCGCGCGGGTCAAATCGATCGTGTCGCATTAGGACGCAGATGCGAGCTCGCGACCCCGTTCCGGCCACCGAGTGGGTGGCTGGCTGCACACGACCGGACATTGTGTGAGCCGAGCAAGAAATGGTCGAGCTGCCTTGGGCAAGAAACTGCTTCGCTTTCAAGAAAATCTCTTCGCTTCCTCCGATGTTCGATGTTCGGCGCCCGTGCCTGGCCACGGAAAGGGAAGCGAACCTCGTTTTGACGCGGTCTTACGTCTTCCCTGGCATCGCATAAACGTTCCTCGCTCCGGGGCTAGGCTTGTGCGTATTAGCCCCCGTCCCGTCCCATCCCCTCCCCTCCCCAGAGCCCCGACCCCCCTTTCCATCCGTGCGCTTGCTTGCCCCTTTAGACATATGCCTAAAGAGATCTCCGGCCTCGCCTCTCATGGGCCTCGCCTGAGCCCGCCACCCACCCACGCCCCCGGCACGAAAACTGTGCTGGAGCACGCCCCTCCGCTCCCCGGAGCATGGATCCTCCGCGGACGCATGTTCTGGACTCGGCCGAACGCGTTTCTAGGGTCGGTCGGCCAGAAGAGCAATGGACTGAAATGGATGAGGAATCAATCCAGCGACGACGAGGAGGAGGAGGAGGGAGGAAGAAAGAAAGGAAGGAAGGAAGGAAGAAGAAGCGCGAATTTGGAGGAATTATATTCCGAGGATGTGGAGGAGGGCAGCAAAGAAGTATGGTGTGAGTTTGGGGGAAGGGGGAGGAAAAATTAAAGGCGAAAAGCAAGAGTGGTGGCGCTCGGCATTCAGATCTCGTTTGCAGAGGGGTGGGGTTGGGGCTATAGCCATCGCTGAGGACGGCGGACAGGCCTTTTCCTGGCTGCGAGCCCCTGCGCTCCCACGGAATTCCTTCTCGCCTCTATCTTCCTCCTCCTACCTTTAGAGAGGGGAAAGCAGGGTGAAGACAAGCCCTCCCCCCGCGGGTGGTGGGGGGAGAGATAGATAGAGGGACGGGGGATGAGGAGGAGGCAGGAGGAGAGAAAGCGAAAGAGGCCCAGGGGCTCGATCGAGCCTTTACTGTCCTCGCAGGAGCTGTGGCAACAGAACAAAAGCTCCAGGTGCATTTGCTGCAAGATAGGAGCGAGCGCTAGCAGCCCCAGCAAAGAAAGGTGGCGGGCAAGGGGCTAGACTTGAGATATGATCCCGTGTCTATTCCAAAGGGACGGCAAGCGAAGGAAAGCGAAGGGCAGCGGAGGGCAGAGAGCGAGGGAGATGCGAGCCCGAGGGAAAGGGAAAGGCGGCCTTTTCATGCATACGGCGTATGCGGGCGAATAATGATCTGAATGAATGTCAAGTGACTGAGAAATAGACTCGACTGGAATAGAGATGCACACACACAAAGGGAGTGCGAGAGAGAGAGACAGACACAGAGACAGACAGAGGGAGGGGCAGAGAGAGAGAGAGAGAGAGGGAGGGAGGGAGGGAGGGAGTACTTCCACCCTTTTTCCCGAGGCGACGTTCTGCAAGTGATGGGGGTGATTAAGGTCAGAATCTGGATAATGTACCTTGGTACATCAGCAGTTTAGAGGGAGTGAAAACGGTGTGATTTCCGATCGTACTGCGGTGTCACCTTTTCGTGGGGTTCCCGGACTTTAATGGGAGAAACTTTTCGGTTGTCTCTTTCTTACGTATGTCTGAGCTCGGATCTTTGATGGTTCGCCATCGTGTTTCTCTTTGCACTCCTGTACTTGTTTCCATCCCATTTCCATCCTTTATTTTAATACAATCGCTTCGAGGTAAGAAGGCTTCGAAGATGAACAGAGGGCAGTACTTGCATTCGGAGGAAGGAGTCCAGCAACTCAGCCCCCTCGCCCATTGCTCCTTGATGGATGGAATATAGTCGAGTGAATGTGCATGCTCCAGCTGCTGCTGCTGATTCCGTGATGGGCATGGGCAAGGTCAGGGTCAGGTCAGCAGCTGCTGCTGCAGCTCCTCTGCGCTACTTAAACGTGGACGAGCGGACGTAAGGGGCTGCAAGCCCAAGAGAAGGCTGCCAAGTACAATTCTTGATGAGCATGCCCAACTTGCCGTGCTCGCTTTCCTCCCTCCCTTCCTTCCTTCCTCGCTCCGTTACCGTTTCCTCACAGTGCTTCCAAGTTTCCTTTGTTACTACACAACCCCAACCCCCACTTAAGCCCTCCTTCTCAGAAGTAGCGTCGCCTTGTACTCTAGCGGTGCCTGAGCGTACCCCCACCCCCACCCCCTGCCCCCTGCCCCATGGGGACCTCGGCTCGCACGAGTGGCTTCCCCAATTCTTCCTTTCCGTCTTCCCTGGGGCTTACCTTTCAAAGAAAGGGGGGCCAAGTGGATAGCAAAAGAGATGGGACGACGACCACATCCGAATGTACATTTGCATCTATGGCGTCCCGCCCGCAATCCGATGGCCGTATGTAGGAATGTGTGCGAGCCATTGTAGCAAGCAGCCCTGGCCCCCATGCTCCGCTCGTCTGCCCCCAGCGTCTGCGACTTTAATTCCTGCCCAGCTCGCTCACTATTCCCCAACCCCCTCCCCCTCCGCTTCATCCTTCCTCTTTCTCGTCCTCGCAAGTGGCACTCGCACGGGTGCTCAAGTCCCGATGCCCCAGCCCCATCCCCCATCGCAAGCCCATCTGGGTGACACCAACGCCGCAGGCAGGCAGGCCACGAGTATGAGCTCCCTCGAGGTCGGTCCGTCGTCCCTCGACTCCGTCCGTCCGTCCGTCAGCCCCTCCCTCCCTAACCCCCGTCCTCGTGCCCCCTCTTTTTCTTCGTCTTCTGGCAGCAGGGGCTTGCGCGAAAAGCTCCGCGAGGCGATTTTCCTCCACAGGCGCAAGATGTAGAGGCAGAGGCGTTCTTTTCTCGGCAAGTCAATCGGTCAAAAGGCAAAGGTCCGGATGATGACTTCTCGATCACTTCAACTGACGGCCCGGGGAGGAAAAAGACGGAAAAGGGCGTGGCTCGAATCCGAAATGCGGAGCACACGCCCCGAATAATAGTAATAATCACGCTCCGTCAACGAAAAATCCTCGAGCCCCACTGCTGCAGCTGACAGGCCATGCCCTCCTCGTCGCCAGACAAGCGACGAGAAGCCAATCCACCAAATCGCCGTCGTCCCCCGAACCGCAACACATTTACTCGTTTTCGCAACAGTGCTCCTGGCGAGTTGAACTCCATCGCGCACCTGCACCGCCATACCGTGCCCTGCTGACCTTCTGTTGACAATTCCCCCCTCCACATAAGCGCTTAATACTGTGTGTCTGTGCTTTTGTGCTCGAGTTCAGAGCGTGTGTTTGTGTATCGAGTGGGCGAGCGACCGAGCGAGTGAGTGAGTGAGTGAGTGAGTAAGTGTGCAGTATGCGCCTTCGTGTCCAGTGGCGTGCAATTCTTTGTCATCATCGGCAGCCATTGGCTCCGTCAATTGACTTGACCCTCATCTTTGTCCCTTCCGAATTTCTCCTCCTCCTCCTCTTCCTCTTCCTCCTCCTCATCATCCCCTTCCTCGAGTCCTCCTCGACCCATTCATTTATCCATGCCTCTTCATCCATTCGAGCCATTCGCTATCTTCCACTCGCGCCTTTCACGTATTCTCTTTTTGTGTGTCACGAGCCCGTCACGTATTCACTCGTGGAAATAGTCTAACTTTTACAGAAGAAAATTCTGATCGCACATGAACGTGCCAGCCTGCATTGCAGCCTGGTAGCCTGGCTGCGCTCGACCTGGATTCTCGTTATGAGACTTGACGGCACTGGCCGGGAGGGGACAAGAGTGGCCTGAGAACCAGACGTAGTGTTACATGTGCAATTCATACGAATGGCCACTCTGCAAACGAAGCTGCTTCTTCCGAAGCCAGTACATCTCGTCGCTACGAACACAAAATGTTTTTATTACATACTTTTTAAAATATCTCGCGATGTGAATGGTGCACCTTTTTCCAGTGAGAACCTTTTCAAGCGATTGGACCCAGAGCGAGTATGTCGCAATGATGTTTCGCATCGGGCATTTTGCATTCTTACACTCGCTGCAGATGACATCGAAAAAGCTTCCAAAGTCATCGTCCTTAGATCTCGGGTTATAAATTTCCAAACTATGAGTCGTGGGCAAGTTGCGCCTTCCCACGCCTTTGGAAGAATTCTGCCGTTACCTCGCCTTGGAATGCATCATCGCCCCAGTTTCGTACCATCGAGAGGTCAAATCCTCCCCAGCCGCATGGCAATGTATATTTAATTGCACCCGGCCTCACGAAATGTACAATTACACATTTTCATTTACACCCATCGTATGCTCATACTGGACGAGCGTATTCTACAGATGCCCATCTATGCAGAGCCGAAGTTCAGTACAGGACACTCGTGAAGGCTTCCCAAAAATAACACAATTGAATGGTCCTCGTAGACAAGGGGCCTTGGACGTGGGAACGTAGAAGTGTTCGTAGAAAAACCACGAGTGCCGAGGCTGGAGGCGGTAGAGCTTTGCAGAGATAGAAAGCTCGGGAAAAAGGGGAGAGACATTCTCGTACAAAGGAGCTCAGATCACCGTGTGCTCAGTATGAGGGGGTAAGGGGGGGAAAAGGTAACGAATAGAGAGGAGAGGGCTTGCACAAAGCGAAGCACATGAAGAGTTCAACGTATACAGAGAGCGTATGACGCCAGGAGAGAGCCACGACAGTGGGCCTGAGATCGTACGAGGGGGGGGGGGGGGTAGACATAACTCCGACGGGTGGTTCGTACCCATAACTCGCTCTCACTCCAGTACCCAAAATTACGGTACGCCACAGTCGTCGTACTGCTGTACTTGCGGGCTGGCTGTCGTCTAGGACAGAACGGGCGAAGTGGAAGAAGGCGCAGCTGCTGCTGCTGCTGCAGCTGTAGGACGGACGACCTGGTCCGTCCCGTTGCGTTGCGTTGCTAGCCAGCCGCCTGGCCTGGCCGCGGGGCCTGGGCTTGGCTGGCCTGACTGACTTTTAGCCCGAAGCCCACGGCTTTTCCCCCCGCCACGGCCCTGGCCTGTCCGGGGGCCTTGCACACGTTCTGCGTGCTCCGTAAAGGCTCCGTTCCGTTCGTCCCCGTCGTCGTCGTCGTCGACGGAAGCATGGCAAGGGGGCAAGGAAGCAAGGGGGACGGGGGACGGGGGACGGGGAGGGAATCGAAGGGGAAGTACAGTCGAGTACTGTGGGAGCAGAATAGGGGGGGCCTGGGGCTGGGCTTGGGGTTTGGGCTGGGCTGGGATGAGGTGGGATGGGATGGGCAGACAAGAGAGGACAAAAGATATACTTGTCCAACAGCTTGAGAAGAACTGCCCACGGCCTGGTCCGGCGGAAGCGGCGCTGCCCGCGAGCTGACAGGAAAAAAACTACGATGGGGGGTAACGTAAGCCTATCCAGTGAATGCGTAAAGTAGAGTGAGTGTATATACACGGAGAGGGGGGGGAGCAGGTCTGACGTGGACGAGGTCGCGGCCACACAGGCGCCAAAGGTCCGCATTTATATTGCGGGCCTCACGCGCCGCGCGCGCTCGCGGCTCCGCCAATGGCCGCCCGGCGGGCAGATCTGCAGAAGATTCGCCATTTTCTTTCGCTATTCTCCCCCTGCGTTCGCTTTCCGCTTGCGCCCACCGGCGACCCGTTCCGCCTCGCGTCCCCCCCTCCCCCCCTCAACTGCGGTTCTGACTCAAACCGAAACTGTACCCAACTACCTCCACCCGCAGTCTCCCCGGAGTTGACCTTGGTTTTAACCCCCTTTGTTTGCTTCTCCGCCTTTTGCCATGGCCGCACCTCCCCTGCCCTCCCCTGCCCTCTCTCGCGTCGAGCTGGATTTGAACTCGGCCATGATCATTTGTCACGCCAAATTTATCGTTCTGACATCCATGACGAATTGTAAATGTTTGAATCGGGGTCCACAGTGCCCCCCCTTCCTACCACCCTTCAACGTTTGTCAGTGACGTGCCCTTCGTCAGCGAGGCCTTCGCATCCCCCCTTGGGACTTCTTTCCCCCGGTTCATGACATGATTTGACATGTACCGTCATGCCATTGGACGCCACGCACAGTGGCCGTGATTTGGCACCCCCAAATGACGGTACCAAATCATTGATTCTCGCCCTGCCCCTGCCCCCTGCCCCAACCCCAACCCCTGCCCCTGCCCCTGCCTGCCTGCCTCCAAGGGCTTGGACTGAATCCTCTCACGCCCCCGCCGGAGCCCCCTGTGGAAGACATTCCGCAAGAACGTAGAACAAGGAAGAAGTGGTCGAAGCATGCGAATGTCGAGTAGCACCTTCGGGGTGTCGGTTACCCCCGAGCTCCTCACTCTTCTCTGGGTGCTTCCGATCCAGCTCATCTTTCGGTGGGGGGCGGAGACCCGAGATCACATTGTCACGTAATCGGGCTCATACGGTGGGATCTGTCTGTCTCGCGAGAATCTGCATTTGGCTCCTCTCGATCTTCTACTGCGGGTATGAGTATAAAACATTCATAACTGTGACGTCGCAATAGTGATGTCGAGAGCGAGTGAGCGAGTGAGCGGGCGAGCGGGCGAGCGACAGGATCTATTATTACATGTTCTACGAAGATTTCCATGTCCTCTGATTCTTCTCTACCGCAAACGCTGGGGGATCGTACACAAGACATGGCCATGGGCAGGCCTTCTGCTTCTTCTGCTGCTGCTGCGGCTGC